CCGCTCTTCGAAGGAAATCTCTTTTCGACCATCGTACACAACGTTCAGACAGAGAATGTTCGAAGAATTACGTTTATCGCAGTGAGAAGTGCCTAAACAAGATCTTCAGTCGTAACCTAAAGAATTCGACAACAGCAATTTAACTTGAGTCACAATTAACACCTTCACCAGCATTTGTCGGAACCCGTCTTTTCCCAATTGAATTCGAAAAGGAACATTTTTAACTGTTATGATGCAGGTCTGATAAACTTCCATGATTCCCAGCATTATTCTTAAATGAAGTTTGTCGTAAGACGCTTTTCTCCGCCTGAACGTCATTAATCAGGAGTGTCATACCGTTGAACGTAAAATTTACAGCAAGATTGCGACTACAGTGTATAGTATAGAATCCCACTTTCTTCCCCTTTCATCCGACTGGCCCTCATCTGTCATCGAGTCACAGTCGCTCCTCCAATTACTTCAGTTCTGGATTATTTGCTCTATCGTAATTTGACCATTGGGTGGTCCAAACCAGTTTTGAGAACACAAAGAGATATTTATCGTACAGTGGAATTTAATTCACATTCTTAGGTGGGTTACTTTTAACCTATTACAATATCATTTTTGGACGGCATACTGCCAATACCAACGTGACGTTTTACCGGCATGATCTAGGCGCTGAATGAGCAAACATTGCGTATAGCCACCATCCGGCATCCCGTTGTAAATACAGAAATTCAACGGACTGAATTAACGGACATGAACTCTGCATCATACGACGCCAGGATAACATTAGCTGACCACGTGTTTCGCATGAAGAACAACCAGTGAATATCCTTCCTGCATACCTGCCCCCCTTCCCGTACATTGAAAAAATTAAAGGCACATTACCCAGTGAGTATCAGAACACCTCATTTTTTGCACGTGATGCTCGACCGGTCAATAAATACCCGAAGGGTAGGTGTATAACAGAAAAATTAAGCTAAAATAAAATTCAAATCGAACCGTTTATGTTGTCGTGCAATTTCCTTAAAACACGCAATTCCGTTGATTTAAATCTGGAAACAAAATCTTTATTAAAAATTTCAAATACTCACTTTGTCGGCTATGAGTCACTTGAGGCCGTTCGTTGGACGGAAAAACTAAATTAAAAGTTGCATGCATTTTTTACATACTTGAGAATGAAACAAACCAGGGCGTTGAGGAGGAAGTAAACTCAGGAATTTGCAGGTGTGTTCCTCTTCTTCGATGCCGTTCCTGGACAAAAACTCGGCATAGGCTATTCGAAGATGCTCTGCTGGCTGCGCATTTGCTTCGTAGCCAAGACGAAAAATGCGCGTCGCCTCGAGCATTTCGCGACATCTTTCCAATTCAAGTGCCCATGTTATGTAAAATACAGACAGATCGGTAAACATGCGGTGAGCTTCGAGACCTTCGTAGATTTTTACTGGGCCCAAATGTTTACTGAGAGATGCCTAGAAGCAACATATGCAACATCTGCAATATCAAATAGATATTAAAACAATCTGGGCACATACATAAACATATTTATAGCGAAAAACCACAATTCCTCCGACTATAAGCCATACCATGCACCAAAGCTGGAAAAAAGCATCAAACTTACATATTTATGGAAAACTTCGAAAAATCTTTCGTCTTGCAAGTATTCTTCACGACACTTCAGGTCCTCGATGCATTGCTCCAAAATAAACCTTAAGTGGCCAGGTGGGCCGTCGTTCGGATGTCCTTCCGTCCAGCGGATGAGACGAAGCCACACAGCCAGTGTATCTCCGTTTTCCTTTCTTACTTTACTCAGTTCTTCGTACAACTTCCGTTCCGACGTTTGGTCGCATCGTCGGGACCGCAGCTCCGACATGAGACCACCAAAGGAAGGGTTTGCGGCACAACAGAGCAAACTATAAACTGAATATAATGCATATAAATTAAAAACCATTAAAAGCCGGTCTGGACGAGTTATGCATTTATGAACATATTCATTGTACGAAAATATATTTTTACGCTTTGCGAAAGCAGACAAGAAATCGGCAACGGAAACATTATTGGCGATAAAAACAATACTACAGCTAATAAAATGATGCGAGATGCATCTGCATTCTTCAGGTGCTCAAATCCAATTTAACCAAAGACTCTTTATGCGGACTCCTAGGCATCGATGAGCAAGGAATGGTATCGTGCGCCGTAACATGCTTAATGGTTTAGAGGAGCTGTGCGATTACTAGTGTACAATATAATCAGCATGCTGCACAGGAAAATGGAATGCAGCTAGTGCAAGGACAGGATTTTAAGTATCTCACGAATATGGTATGCAAGCACCAGAAAACAGGCGTATGGATTACACAGAACAGTTGTTATGCGTGACCCTAACCGCTGGGTGTGATGACCAAAAAACCAACTGAACCCTCGTCTTATAAGGCGTTCTGCTCACTGTCACTTTAGCTACTTCACTCGAGCAATGACGCCGCAGACTTTCGAGTTCTGACAAACTCTTTCGTCTTTCAATCTTTTCCTCTTATTGCTAAAATACACCGTCCCATTCTGCACTGCTTTGTCAGCAGTCTATCAATAACTTTCAACCTTAAGGTCCATTTTTCCCGTCCATGCACTAGCATTGGGAGCACACAAAAATCCAACACTTTCCATTGCAAACACAAGGGCACTTTCAATCTTCCAAAAGTGCTCCGTGCCATTTTTATTTTTCTGCTGATTTCACATTGTCGGTTCTCCGCTGCACTGTCGGAGCTAGAAAAGTTTTTCGCCTGTTCGAACAAAACCCGTTGACGTCAACAGGTCATAGGGTCACGCATTTCTTGAATACGACCTAAGTCTTCGCCATGTTCGTTTTCAGTTATACTTTCATGCTGGCGTCGTTTAGCTCTTGGATTCTTCTTTGCAGTTCTCCCGGTGATCTCGGAAGATCGGAATGTCATCCGCCAACCACGGGAGGCTTAAGAATTTATGCAGTAAAAATCCCTAATTCTCCTAAACTGTGCATTTTGAAAACCTCTCTTAGGGGCTGAATTGAATAACACTGTCACCCTGTCGAACACCCTTTTAAACAACGTTTGTTTTAAAGCTAACAAACTTTCGACGCGTAAATGTAAGTTTCTTGCTCCAACTGCATCGCCAGAGAAACAAGTTGTGAATATTTATAAAACAAAGGAAAACATGACTTAAGTGGAAAAGGGAAAAAATGGAGCAGGGGATTGTAAATCATAGGTACCGGGTTCAAACTATGTACGATGCGTAAATCTCTTATTACAACTGTCAATTCTTCTGAACAAGGAACTTATACAACAGCGCTTCGGTGCGACCAAGGGAGAACGGATAGCATCTCGTTGACTTGCGAACAATACTGACAATACGATGTTCTGGTGTGATCATGTCAGGGAGTGGGAAACATATGACCAGGCTGTCACAAGATTGAGCTGAAATTCGTCTAGACCCACTTGACAGATCATTGAAAATGAATCAATGATATAACCCGTAAAAAATAAATTTAAATAACAAAATATAATGAACATAAAAATTAAGATAAACTATTAAAAACTGCAAAAGCTGACATCTATTAAAGGACTGTGACATTACGCAAGAAATAATTAAATTGTATTTAGTGCTAAATTCTTTCCCAAGGACAAGGTTATCATTAACTCGAATCGAAATGACCATACCTTGTAACGCAGTTAGTTTATAAACTAAATGGCATATAGAGATACACAGGTAAAAAAGCAACATGGGCATTAAGTCGGTGTTAAGACTGTGACCTGATCTCTGTGTTCTAACAGACTATAGACTTATCTCCGAATTTGTTGGATACCTTTCTATACTTCATCCATCTGAAGTAGGGAAGAAAAGATGCACAAGAAAACTAAGTTTAATAAGTGAAATCCAAATGCGTACCAATGCATAAGGCAGGTTCATTCTTCTAACTTTATCATCAAGCAGTAATAAACTAAAACTATGAACTATCTGAGATTGGGGAAACGTTAAGAATGGGAACGTATGGGAAAGTCAAGGTGAAGTCAGTGGCACTCCATAAAACTG